CCAGTCACCGCTTATAATGCTTTAATATTTCATTCTGTCAAGGAAACAATATACACTTTCCTAGTAGGTGCTTTTCTGTAATATTTGGTATGCTTACGAACCTCGTTGCGTTAGTTTAAAAGGCGGCATTGCACGAGTAAGGTTAAAGTTTGTTTCCTAGATGCCATGAATTATTGCTTGTTGTCGGCACAGTGTGAATGACCTGGCTAAATTGTGTTCTTTCCTTGTTGGAACATGAGGTCAGGCACCTCATCCTCATCGCCGCTGCAGTTGTGTTGGGGCGGCTCCTGGGCCAGGTCTTATGAGATAAGAGACAAAATTTAAGTTTCGAACATATGGATTCATTCCCTCTTCCCTTCCCCTATATCTCCTCCCCTCTCCCTTTCCCCTATCTCTCCCCCCCTTCTCCCCTTTCCCTATCTCCCCCTCGCCCTCCCTCTCCTCTCCCCCGCTCCCCTCTCTCTCGCCGTCTTCTCCACTCAAGGAAGGTTCCTAGATGCTGGTGAGGGGCTCTTGGTCTAGGGAACTGGATCTGTGCTCCAGTTCCCTGAAATAACCCTGAATACCTTCCATCCCCCCACAGGCGCTGTATATTCCTACGGGTTTAGCGCTTCCCCTTGATTACAATAATAAAAATAATCCCCGTCGCTCTCCCCTCTTTCTCTCTCTCTCTCCCTTTCCCTCCCTCTCTCCCTCGTTCCCTCCCTCTCTCCCTCGTTCCCTCCCTCCCTCCCTCCCTCGTTCCCTCCCTCCCCTCCCTCGTTCCCTCCCTCTCTCTCCCTCTCTCTCCCCTCTCCTCTCCCTCTCCCCTCTCTCTCCCTCTCTCTCCCTCTCCTCCCTCTCTCTCCCTCTCCTCCCTCTCTCTCCCTCTCTCTCTCTCTCTCTCTCTCTCTCTCTCTCTCTCTCTCTCTCTCTCTCTCTCTCTCTCTCTCTCTCTCTCTCTCTCTCTTTCTCTCTCTTTCTCTCCCTCCCCTTCCTCTCTACCTCCTCTCTCCCCTCTCGCGTGCGCACAGTCCTCTTTGTTCTAATACCTGGCGTTTCCGTCTTGGTGATTGGTTAATCATATGTTGTGGCTGGCTTGAGGGATGGACGATGATAAGGAGACAGTTGTACTGCGGTGGGTAGAGTATCCTGTTGCACCAGCAGTGCCTCTCCAGCATCGCTGGTGGCAAGCAAAAGGGCAGGTGGAAGAGGAAGAGGAGCAAGGAGGGTATCGGGGCTCTGAGACAAGAACAAAATACATATAAACAAAGAGTCATGGACTCGACACGTTCCCCCCCCCCCCCTTTTTTTTTCTTGTTTACACTTCTGGGTTCCGTTATCCGTTTCCAGGGAATTATCTTGTACTTTCCTCATATTTTCTCTTTTTTTTTTCTATAGTGTTCATTTTTTTTTATTCGTGTTTTTTGTTGGAGCTGTCCTTGTCTGATCTTGCCTCTCTTATTTACCCGTCTATCATCTTATTCGCTCTCTTCCCTCTCAGAGTTCACTCTCCTTTTATTCACTCTCTTCCTCTTATTTGCTCTCTCTCCTTTTATTCACATTCCTCTTGACTGGCCCCCCTCTTGTTCTCTCCTCTTGTTCACACTCTTTCCCCTTGTCCGTCTCTTCTCGTTCACTCTCTTCCCTCTTGTTCCCTCTCCCGTGGGTATCTTTTCCGGAGAAATGTGTCACCCCCCCAGCATGTGAGCAGTACCTCTTTGATTTATATATATTGAATGTATATGATACAAAGGCATTTCTCACAAGTGAATATAATACAAAGAAACATTTCTCAAAAGCTGGCCTCAATAATACAGATGAAGACTTGCGTACGGCAGCCAGAGAAGAGGTGCAACAGTTGAAGACGTTATCACACGTGAGCGGGGCCCACTAGTGGAAGCAAGTCATGCCTTTAAAGTTGGTCACAAATTAATAATGGAGATGCAGAAGCTTGAGGAGTGATGTGTGATCACAGTTCGGTGGGACCCACTGCTGGGTACCTACTTCCTGTGAAAGCGTGTGCCTTAATGCTGGTGGAGGGCTCATTATTCAAGGAATTGGAGGTACCCTCCTGTTCCTCAGATCAAACCTGAGTATGTTGCATGCTTCAGGCTCTATAACCTATATGGGTTTAGCACTTCGTTCCCTCATAATTACACAGGCTACAGTTATTACAAACTTGCCAATCGAAAATGTTGACATATGTGCAAACATCTGTGTATCTTTATTGTAGACGTTTTGTCATCCAGTGGCTTTATCAATACAGATTCTAGGACACAATTTGAAGACAGTGGAACTGTATACAAAAGATGAGGTAATCAGTCCCTCAGCCGCCTTGGAGTTGGTGTGAAGAGCACCGTAGTCGTGTAGATTCTGGAGCACACTGAACTGAACTGAGGACTCACAGGTAAGGGCCCACTAGGGGCGAGGGGCAAGTGGGGACAGGATGAAGAAGATAGTTGTAGAGAGGAAAAAATCTTAAGAAGGAGGAAAAGTGTCAGGACTATACCCAACTGCTCTGGAGCACAGGCAACGAGGCTGGCGCTTATATACTAATCGTCAGGTGGAAAAGGACGGGTAGCAGACGAGGCCATAGTCACTGGTAGACGGGATTCCCCAGTGGAAGTAGGTCACGCCCAAAGGGATGGGCAAGTTGTAGTAGTAGTTGTAGTAGCCGTGAAGACGGATTTGTAGATGTCCTTTGAATCAAGATTCCATGATGTTGCAGTGTCTGACAAGTTGTACGAGAATGGTATACAATACCGACAAGATGAAAATTTTGACACGTGCAAATATCTGGGTATGACACATGTGCAAACAACTGGGTTGGCGAAACGTCTACAACAAAGATACCCAGATGTTTGCACGTGTCAAAATTTTCATCTTGTCGGTATTGTATACCATCTTGTACAACTTACCAATCGTCTGTACGTTACAGAATCACCTGCAGGAGATGGAGACATCTGTAACACCTTGGTGAAGGGCAGGGTTCACCTGCAGGAACGGTAGTTGTTCAAGATGCTTGAAGGGTAGCCACTTACTGTGAGTTTGTGAAGGGGAGGGCTCTTTTTTTCAGGAAGGGTAGCATTTGGTAAAAGGAAAGGTTATTCACTTGAGTTGCCTGCAAAAACGGTGGGGGGGGGGAACACCTGGGTTTACAATGGAAGAGGGAAGGAGGAGGATTGGGAAAGGGCGAGAGTGATGGGAAAGGGCTGATGATCTGTAATTTTTGGCTAGCACTCTGCTGCCTCCTTTATGCAATGGAGCTGTCTACACTCTTTAGAGACTCTGGTATCTCAAATAGATATAGACTCTTTCACCAAAGAATACAGTATCTCATCTAGATATAGGCTCTTTCTTCAAAGAACAATGAAAGCTCGTGCTTGTGATATTTGTGTTTTTTTTTTTATATAAATAAGGAATTGCATAAATCTGGTCCAGGTGCTAAAATTAAACTTGTTTAACCTACATATATTGAATACTGTAATTTGATAAGAGTATTATATATGTAGGACATGAAGAAATAGTAAATAATGCAAGGGAAACTGGATGCAAATGTGGAGAACATTGCAATGCAAATTATGTTGAGAAAAGTTATCTGAGATGAAAAGGAAGACTTTTAAGTGTTTTGAAAAGATACCTTAAAATTTATATGGAAGACATGAAAAGTGTATAGTGGATAATAAAATGAAAACCTGAGTAATGAAGGAAATAAAGTTGTACAGTAATAATAATATGTTAACTGTGTCTTACCTCACAATACAGGGTTAAAGTTGAATATATGTGTGCAGTAGATTGCATGAAAAACTGTGGAGTATACATATTATGTACTTAAAAAAATACATATCATTGTGTAGTGTGTATAGTGAAAAGGAATGTGGGGTATGTACAGTATATTGATGCTACAGGTGAATGCATATTATATAATGATGGTAAATCTTGAATACAGTGCACAGCATGTGGTGATAATAATGAAAAACCTGCTGTACAAAATTAACATATAAATTAACTGATATTGGTCACTAAAATTCTTGAGCCATGACAACATCAGTGGTATCAGCAGGTAATTCTCAGGTTACATCTCTTTGTTCATCTTAATTACAGTAATGGCAATAGTAACTTGATGTCTTTTTTGTGGCTAACCAAGCTGCCCACAGATGGAGCTGTGAATGGAGAAGCATTTAACAGCTGAGAAAATCTTCAGGGATCAACATACAACAACTGTAGTATGGTCTTATGAACTGAATGAGTTGATATGGAAATGTGTAATGTAACTATCATAAGAGGACTTGTGTATTGTGAGACATGGTGCAGGTCTCAGTCATATGATGATCCACGAAGTAAAGTTTTTGGTCACTTTACTGAGTCCTTTTGCTGGCATACCGGTTCACCTCTTATGACATCATGGTACAATTTCCACTCCTTATAAAAACAGTGGCTCATAACAGAATATAGTGTCCAAGGATTAGAGAAAATATTGTACTGTTAGTATATACAGTGTTGAAGCTGCAAATGAGAATAGGATCTATCAAGTATGATAATTTTACTTTGCTAGAATGGTTTTGTCAATAATCATTAATTCGTGTGATGTTGGATATTTGGTTCATGAGCAATATATGCCAAAATAAAAGTATACTGTAATAGGATATGTTGTCATGTGTTGGTTAATACTGTGTTGGGCTGCCTCAGCTTGGTGGCTGCTTAACAGAATTCTGTTACTCATGTTCACAGCTAACCCACAAATTAGAGATAAATCTTTAGACAACATTTCGGCTCATTCTTAGCCATTATCAGTCACACCACAATAAGGGTTCAGAATGGATTGGAATATTGTCCAAGGTCTTATTTCCAGTTTATGGCTCAGTTGTGAACTGTTATTACTATTTTAACTCTTATTCTTCTTAACCACTGTTTTCTGCTGTTACAACATCTGGTTTCTACATAATAGCCTAACTAATTTTGTAAATTATGCTTCTTTAAAGCTATGTAAAATACAGATATTATGCTTGAAATTACAGATATGTAAATGAACTCGGCCCTAATACTGCATTGCCATGGCCTTGTGGAAGACTGACAAGACAGGTTGGTGTTTTATCATCCTGCAATACCTGATAATAAAGAGTTAGTTGGGCAGTTACCCAAACCTTCTGCATCAATGCTCAGGATCACTATATAATGCTCACAGTTCTCCAGCAATGACCTAATGGTTGCCTCTAATATTGTCTGTGATTACTGGCAAGTGGCTAGATAATGTTGTCTTGCCATGATGTGGGGGCTGTGATTTGATTCTTGCCATACTGTAACCTATGTTGCCCACTCACTTGTTTCTTAGGACCCTTTTAAGACCCTTATGGCCTGTAGGATTAAAAGTATTGTATATATCCACAATGTGGTCAACTGTTACCAATGAACATGAACAAATAATGACAGTGCTCGGGCTATAGTAAATAGTGTCGAAGGCTTTCTCTGTTGACATAGAGTGGTTGGGTGAAGGTGTTGCAGTGATCCTGGGGTGTGGTAGTGCCCCCGGGGTGTGGCAGAGGTATAGGGCAGTGGCGCTGAAGTGGTGGTGTGACACCAAATCACCTGTGGAAGAAAGCGCAATGCCACGGGGGGCTCAGTCTCCCAGGAGGACGCAAAGTGTTTATGTGGGAGGTAGTGGGTGTCGCCTCACCTCACCTGATTTGCTGTTGTTGACATCAGAAGCCTCTGCCCCTCCCACACCACGGGAGCGACACACCCATTCTATTGTTGTGCCACGTCCTCTTAGCTTAGCCGGCGATGCTCATGCTGCTGCCTACCTCTACTCCTGCCATGCCCCTTATGCCAGGTACTTAACTTTTGCGGAGTGCATCTGCTATTATTTTTGTTCGCTTAAGTGTTGGCATTCATCATAGCATTTTATGTACGTTTTTATTTGCTTATCTGTGGTTCATCATTAATGTGTTCATATAAAATGATTATGTACATTATAGCAAAGCACTCACTTCTGTCATATCTAAATGTACAGTATTATTGCTCTGAAGCATTTAAGTGATTATCCACTGTATCAGTAGTTCTTTAGTAAGTTAAACATTTTTCTTGTGCTTTATAAGATATTAGCATTTGTTGCATCAAGATAGACATGCATTAATTTTCCTAAATAGCAGTAGTTTATCAAGTTACCATTCATCTGTTGCAATAGAAACATTTAGTGCATCTTTAGCAGTTCAGAAGCTCTTTGTTATGCTAGTTTGTAAAATATCAATGCATCCTCTTCATAACAAATATCAGTGGTCTGTTTTAAATAGTAAGCAGTATTGTTGTAGCTGCTGTAAAAAAAGTGTTAGTATCATTTTTTCCGTTGTAGAACTGTAGCAATAAAATTAACCAATATTTCAGCTGTAAGTATTAAATTATCATTTGTTTCTGCTGTGGTGGTAATAATTAATTTCATGTCACATGTATAATAGTAATGAGCATCTCAGCTGTGATGGTACAGTAGTAGCAATATAAACAACAGTTGGTATTATCATTGTTTCACATCACAGTGGTTATTGTTTTATACCACAGCAGTCATTGTTTTTGCTGGGAGCAAGGGGCTAGTAACCCCTTCTCGTGTGTAAATTACTAAGTGTAAGAAGATAAACTTTATAGTTTTCTTCATTTTTGAGTCATCCTGCCTCAGTGGAAGAGGGCTGGTATGTTAAAAAAAAATCATTGTTTTACATCAAAGCAGTCATTGTTTATTGTCATTACAGCAGTCATTATTTTAATGTCCTGGTAAAATATGTTAAGCATATAAGATGCTTTATTTCTTTGTTTTTACCATTATTGCTTTGAAGTGGTGCATATAGAAGAGAGTTTAAGGAGTTGCAACTTTTCCTGTTAAAGTTAGAATCAAGGAACTCCCTTGTTAATTTATCCAATCAATTTCCCGTAAGTTCATCAAAATATATTTTCTTCCATAGTATTCAATAAAGTTTTGTCTCTATACTCCCTTAAATAAAAATCTGGATCCACCATTTTTATCATTTTTTTTATACAGTTATAGTGACATAAATTTGGTTAAGCTTGGGTAAAATTTTCTTCTATAATATTTACTGAAGTTTGGTCCTTATACATCCCCTTTAATAAAAATCTCAATCCACCATTTTAACCTTATTTTATTTATCCAGTTGTACTGACAAATTTGGTCAAGTTGGTAAAATGGCAAGTTGCTTACAGTAAAGTTATAGAAAAATAAATTCCAGAAGTGTTACTAAATTAAAAAATCAATAAAGCTACTTTACGATGTGAATAGTTTAAACACCTTTTTTTTTATGGTCTCTGAAATCATTTTGATAAAATGGAAGTTTTGACTGTGCATTATTCATTTCTTATTATTTTTTATTAACAGTGTACTATATATATATTCACTTTTAAAAAATTAGCTCACATCAGGGAATACAGTAAGTATCTTTTTAATGTATTAAAATAAATCCATACAGAAGATGCTTGATTAAACACTAAATTAATTTTGACTAGTGATAGGAGCTTTGTATTACTTGCAAAAGGCACTTTTTTTTTTTTTTTTTTTTTGGTGGTGTGTGTGTGTGTGTGTGTGTGTGTGTGTGTGTGTGTGTGTGTGTGTGTGTGTGTGTGTGCGTGCGTGCGTGCGTGCGTGCGTGCGTGCGTGTGTGCACGTGTGTGCACATGCGTGCATGTGTGTGCGTGTGTGCACGTGCGTGTGTGCGTGCGTGCGTGCGTGCGTGCATGTGTGCGTGCATGTACACATGTACAAGAGAGAGAGATTACCTATTTGGTTGTTACAGCAACAGAGCTAAGCTCAAGGTGTCCTTTCTTAGCATTTTGTTTGCTATAATTACTTCGTTTCCCATGAATGTAGAACACATTGCAGTTTCTTTGATTTCATCAGTTTACCATTCTGTTTTCAAGGATACATTGTTTGTCTCTTCTTGCACTGCTTTTTTTTCTGGATTTACAAATTTGATGGTGCTAAATAATCTTCCTTATGTATTTTGTTGTCTTTTTCTCTCGGAGGGATGGGTTCCCTGCTCTTTAATGATAAAATTGTCACCTGGAAAAGGAATCAGCCCCTATGGAGACTGATTGAAAAAGAAATTTTGTTTATTTCAACCTTGATCTGAGGTTCTCTTCAGCAAAATTATGCTCAAGAGGACCTCAGACCAAGGTCAAAATATATAGAACAAACTTTTTTCTGTTGCTGTCTCCATCAGTGTGTTCTCAAAAGTATGCAGCGTCTCCTCACTTAGTGACATACTCGTTTACCAACACCTCGGACTTACAATGGGCTTTCTGATCAGTATTCATACCTAAATAATGTATATTAGAGCTCGTTTCCTCTATTCTGTTTATTTCAATATACAGTACACTACTGTATAAACATTTAAAAATATGTATACCAGAAATGTTATAAATGGTGCAAAGGTGACATTAAAACAACATCGAAGATGGTTGACACAAACTCACTACCATTATAGTATGCTCCTTTCTTAGCGACAAATTCATTTAATGAGAGAGTCTCAGGAAAGGAACTTCGTCATTAAGTGATGAGAGGCTGTACACAGTTTGTTTAAAAGCTGTTTAAAATTTTCCATTTTTTAAGAATTCTTGGTCTGTGGTCACCCAGCATAATTAAGGGGTCCTTGTTGTTGCATGCCTTTCACCTTGTTCTATTTTATCTTTGTATATTTTTAGTATGTATTCATGTGTAATTGGTTATTTGTAGTGTGTATATAGATCTAATTGCTCATATGTAATTGTGTATTTGTAATTATAGAAATAAAGCTTTGTTCTTATCTTGTTTTCTTTAAATATTGTACTGTAATTAGATAATAATTTTTTAACATTTTCACACATTAATAATTTTATTTCCAAAGAAAATACAATTTTTTTTTACACAAATTGCTTTCACCTGGTGCATGCATTTTGTACAATACTGTATTGCCTATCTGTAGCATACCTTGTGTCCCAACACATTAAATTTTTATTATTACTTTATTTTTTTAATTTTACCATAATATAATTAATGTGCATATGTATATGTTTGCATGTGTCATTAAACTGTACCTGCATGTATGTGTGTGTATGCATGTGCATGTTAATGTGCACATGCGTTGTATTTGAATGATTAGAGGATATGGATATATAGTAGACCGTTATATTACATGGTTTTATTTGGCATGTTTTGGTTATTACAATATTGAAAAATTGCAGCACAATTTTATACAACACTTCATAAAATTAACTTAACACAGTTCGGTTTGCGGGAGGGGAAAAAATTTGGAGCGTCACCCATGGGATACTTCCCCAACTCAGGCCTCTGCCTGGATGTGGGTTAGACCATTAAGTCAACAGGGGAGACCTACTGCCATCCCCTGTCACCCCTGCCACCCCCCACCACCCTGCCTTTGGTTCATGTGTGTAGAACCATTCACTGCTAGGAGCTAGCTGTTTTTATTTTTGTTTCAGGATTGAGTTTAGATCTTTTAATTGCCATATCCTGTATCTGCCAAACAATCATGGCACCCATTAGGCATACAAGCATCAGTTTGTACAATTAAAAAGAATGAGATGAGTATACGAGCTTGTGTAATGAATAACCCAGGATGTCATCTCATGAAAAGAATGGCATGTAGATCATAACAAGTAAATAAAATGGAAAACTTGTTGCTTGAGTGGATCAAACAAAAAACTGACTTGACTGACTGACTTGATTGATTTACTGACTAACTTACTGACTTGGCTGTTTTACTGACTGACTTACTGACCTGATTGACTTACTGACTTGGCTGATTTACTGACTTGGCTGATTTACTGACTTGACTTAATTACTGACTTGACTGATTTATTGACTGACTTGACTGATTTACTGACTGACTTAAAGTTAGAGTTTTTCACTGAGGAGGACCCTAACAAATATAGAAGCAGTACTCTGAAACGGTGTCTAGAGCAGCTGATACCTTATCGTCAGCTGTATAATGTACTGCTGGACAAAATAGCCCAGAAAACCATTACAGAATTTATGCATGCTTGAGTACAACCATTGACTTCAGTACCAGAAACTTTATGAACCACCTCAGCCCAGTAGGGCCACAACATAACTCTCCTCTCTCTTCACAATCATCCACAAACACCAGCACCCACAATTTAAGATAAGAAATACTATTATTTCTGTTGCATTTGTAGTCTTAAGCAGTTAAAAACATAATATATCACAACAATGAACTACAATTACATATTCACTTTCATTGTGTAAGATCTGTTGGTCTAAAAAAAAGTTGTTTGGCTTTTTGGGGGCTTCCAGGAATGTAACCCTATTTTTCCCACAGGTTCTTCAGCCGTGTAATATAACGATCTACTGGATGCGTCTGGAATTAATGTTTTAACAGTGCTGGTCCTCCAACCACAGTATTTTATATTATTATATCTTGAAGGACATAAAGTAGGTTATAAATTGTTCAAGAGTAATTTATCCAATCCTTATGTAAAGTAGCTAATCAGTGAAACTGTAGGTATATAGTAAAATTCATATGTAAATGGGTACAAATGTAGTGCTTTATGGCCAGAATTGGTCAAACAATGCAAATTGCCCTAAAATAACTGTTTTTTTCCATTTTTATGTTATACATGATATAATTTCTTTTTTAATTTTGCAGTTTAACCTAAGTTTGCTGAAATTATATTACCATAACATGGCAGTCTAAGCCAGCCTAACCTATCTCACAACAGACTGCTTACTATTATTTAAACCCATAAATGGTCTGCTTATCTCTTTCCGTCTCTCTGCTTGTCTCTCAGTCTGTCTCAGAGAGAGCCACTGAACCA